ACTTAGTATGAGTGACCACCAGTGCATGCATAGTGGATGTGGGTGAGCAATACTCCATATTGGCAAGCACACATATGTCAGGTCTGGGATCACTTCAGACAAGGTTTCTTTGGGATTCCCCCAATTGAACCACTGAACTCAGAACTCCAACCATGGGCAGAATTGTATGACCTTTGGAATGACTGTGGAGTGCTTGTGTCAGATTTGGGCCTCCTTGGTGGCTTAGATGGAGCAGTAGATGGCATACTAAGATGAATCTGGGCTGGCTATTCTTGATGGGAAACTTTGGCTCCACCTGTGGGTTTTCCGCTTGTCCCTGGGCCCTCTGGGCTAATATTCCCTCCTCTTTGGTATAATAGGGCACCACTGGTCTTATCTGGCTGCTTCCTGCTGAACAGAGGTGACAACTCAGGAGAGGTAGGAACTCAGAAGATGTGGTTGGGAAAAAAGTGTGTGTATGGGCATCTTAGCAGGCAGATTGAAGGGGGCATGGGAAACTTCCACGAGGAGAATTCATTGTGACTCATGGCACCTCCTGTATTAGATATGTTGTTCCTGTTCTATTGGCTGCATGATCCATTGGATGTGGTTATGTTGGCCCATATCCTGGACTCTACCACTATCTCTGTGGCTGTGAAGTGGGACCAAATTCCAGCAGATGGTGAACCCTGGGCATGTACTCAATAAACCCCTTCTGAATCTTCCTGTCTAGTAACTGATTCCCTGATGTAGTCACCTGTTAGAAAATTAGTTTAAACGTTTAAATGGACAGAGAAACATTAAATCAGGATGAAGCAGAGAGGACACATTCCAAGAAGTAGGAAACAGCAGAGGGGTACCTGGAGACTGACTCACACAGGAAAGCAGTGGACACAATTGTGTGGCGTTGCAGTGACTGATACTCCAGTGGCATTCAGCTAACAGTGATCCAAACTCCACCAGCAGCCGGAACTCCACCAGCAACCAGGTGGGAAGAGACTTTCAATGGGAGCCAGACAAAGAACTGTCTGTCCTGCTGGTCAGTTTGATTTGACCAGGAGCAGAGATAGAGTAGCAGATCCCAGACGGTCAGTGCAAGAACAGGGTAAATTTCACAACCCAGTCAGCCCCCTAGAGCTGACTGGGCGCCATTTTGAGTAAGGAGGCAAAGGCAAGGGAAAGGACTGAGCATATGCTTAGCTTGGAGTGAACTCATTTCTGACTCAGTGAACTGCATCAGCATGGCATTCTACAGGTTCCACCCAAGACAGGTCTGGGTAGCCCTCAGATCTGATGGCCAGCAGATCAAGAACTCTAGCAGTGGTGTATCAGGTGCCATTTTGTACACTGTGGCAAATGCTTTAGGACTGCATGGGACAACAGAGAACTGTGCATGTGCCGAGCTCACGAGAACTCACTGAGTTCCGTGGATTGCACTGGTCCAACATATAATAATACTGACTGTGGCATCGTAAGTCAAAATAGGTCTGTGTGGCAGACAGATCTAACACTCAACAGGTTCTGGCAAGATTAGCACCACCAACAACCTAGATATATAGGATATCTGGTGTCTCTCTAATCCTGGGACCTACTCCAACCAAAAGTGGGAGAAAGGTTGGAGAGACAATGGTGCAACCTCAGCACGATATCACAGGTGGTGGGGATTTATGAGCCAGGAGTTGGGGCTATGGATTTCTTGCTGGAACTCTAACATAAGAACCCAGACCTGGAGCTCACTGGAGGTTGTGGCACAAGTGGCTGCAAGCAAAAAGTTGTGTACCAATTGCAGTAAGTAAAATTGCTTTGTAGACCTGTGGGTGACAGAGCTTAAAACCTACCCCAAGAAGAAGACTCTGCTAATCAGAGGTACAATGACCAAGAGCAAAAGAAGCAAGAGCAATGAATATTATTGAAAACTCCCCTGCAAAGGAGCAAAATCCTTTGCCAACCTCAGAGTTAATAGAGGAAGACATCGAGAAAGCTAGGCACACAGAATTCATAAAACGCATTGTAAAGCTTCTGATCAACAATGAGAAGCACATACAAGAGTTCAAAGAAGTTAAGGAAGCAGTAAAGCAAATCAAGGCTGATATATCAGAAATTAAGAACACAGTAGAGCAAATTAAAAGTACTATGGAGAGTCTCCAAAGTAGAATGAAGCAAGCAGAAAAAAGAATCTCAGAGTTGGAAGATATTTCCTGTCATCAGGGAAAAGCAAACAAAAAGCTGGAAGCAGAGATGGATCAGGCCAAAAAAGTATTCAAGAATTGAAAGACACTATGAAGAGGCCTAACATAAGAGTTATGGGAGTCCCAGAAGATGCAGAAAGAGAAACTGGTTTTCCAAATATATTTAATGCAATAATAAAGGAAAATTTCCCTAATCTAGAGAAAGAATTGAGAACAACATCCAGCAAGGGTACAGAACTCCCAACAGGCTTGATCAAAAGCGATCTTCGCCACGACACATGATCATCAAGCTCTGTTCAATTGAACATAAGGAAAAGATCCTTAAATGTGCACGTTAAAAAAAATTAGTTGGCATATAAAGGAATGAATGCCACTTAAACTCACGGGAGATCTCTCACAGGAAATTCTACAGGTGAGAAGAGAATGGAGTGACATACTCCAGATTCTAAAAGAAAAAAAAAATGTCAGCCTAGGATAGCATATCCAGCAAAGCTTTCTTTTCACTTCAAAAATGAAATAAAATTCTTCCATAGTAAAGAAACGTTAAAAGAATTTGCCTCTTCCAAACCTGCCCTACAAATGATACTTCAAGTTGTTCTCTTGACAGAGAAGAGGAATAGCACTAAACAAAAACAAAAGCAAATAGGAAGAACATCACAGTAAAATCACAACAGAAGACTAAATCAATGAACAACCCATTCCTAAAATGACAGGGCCAAAGTACCACCCATACATATTAATTCTGAATGTAAATGGCTTAAGTTCAATCAAACGTCATAGATTAGTAGACTGGATTAAAAAACTCATCTATTTGTTGTGTAGAAGAGACACATTTCACAAACAAAAATCAGCGGAAACTATATCGTATGAGATTTGATGTTTTCAGTTAGTTTAATCTCTTCAAAACACTTTCTTCTGATTAAATCATTCAATGACTCATAGATCATAGAGTAGCATCATTTTCTGCAAGAAGGTTCTTGATTTTCATTTCTTCAGCTACACGTTAGTCATTTAGTAGCATGTTATTTAAGTTCTTGGTGTTGTTAATTTCTTTTTTCTCTCTGATGTTTTGTTTGTGGCTCTTCATTTAAGGGGATGTATAGTAGCTGTGTAAAGGAGACTGTCATATCTAGTAACATGTTATTTAACTTCATGGCTATGTAAATTTCTATTTTCTTTCTATTGTTGATTTATTATGACTTTTCATTTGAGGGGATGTACAGTAGCTATGAAATGGAGGCTGACATCCAGATTTGAGGATATGATGCAGTATGCATTTCTACTTCTAGATAAAGATGGACTCCCAATGAAACTGTTTACTATATCTTGACAATAGGATTCTGGAGTCTCTGCCATTGTCCATGCCCACAATGATGGACATATGACTGTGTATGAAGAACTACATTTTAGTAATGATACAGAGGCACTATTCAGTGGGGAGGGAGGAAATGGGGGCTGGGATAAGGGAAATACCAGGAGTCTATGGAACTATATCATAAATTAACAATAATAATAATAATAAAATGTAAAAAAATAAATAAAACTATTATATTTTCTGAAGTGATTGTTAATAATTAAATCTAGCTGTTATTTCATTTGGGGGCTTTTTTCTTTATTTTATTTGTATGTTTGGACATAAAATGTATAAAATTGCTATAGTAAAACAAAGCAGTTCAAATCTGTGTGCTACTAGTTTGGTGCAATGATTTGTACATTTTTAAACTAGAAATGTATGCATTGTCTCAAAATAAATTTAACTGAGGGTACTTTATTTGGCAACACTGTTGGTGACACAGTTTCTTCCTCTGTAAAACAGACATAATATCAAGTCAACAAAGATGTTGTCAAAATATAGAAGCTATAAAGATGTTAAATAAAATGATTTATGAAAAATAGTTTATTATTTTCTTTCATCCCCCTTTTTACCTAGCATATATTTCAGGGATCTTCAAAGCAAAAGAAGATAGAACAAACAAACAAGCAAAAACCTCCTGGAAACAAAATTGAAAGATATGTTTATTTCTCTGCAAAAATTTTTGGAATGCATGCATAGTCTTACGACAATAAATGTACAACAAACTTTTGAAGTGGTGTCCTCTAATGGAATATGGATTCACCTATGAGAGGCTTATCATTACAAAAAAAAAAAACAGCTTGGAGTAAGAACTTCCTTAATGCATTGAACTTTTAGTGTGTTAATCCAGTAATGCTGAGGTTAAGTGCCTGACCTGAAGATAGGGTGTACAGAGCGATGGAGTGCTTTATTTTGGATTGTGGAGATGGGGACATGTTTCCCACCTTTTTTCCCACTGACATCTCAACTCCTGAAGCAGACAAGTTGGAAGGTAGCCTCTTGTACTTGATTTGATTTCACTTTGGCAACCTTATCCCACAAGACTCAGCTATTCCTTGTTAAACACCTATTGGATGCTGGGCCTAAAGGTGGCTCATGTTGATAGCTACATTAGTTGCCAGTTCCCACCAACATTTCCCCATATGGCTTTTCTTGCATCCTACAGAAAGAGGTAGATTAAGAAAAAACATGGCATGGGAGTTGGGGGTTGGGTAGGAGTTGTTGCTGTGGTGAATCTGTACTTTGTCTATTATTTGCCTGTTCTGAGATAGATAGTGTAAGATTCTTGAGTGTTTTTTGGACAGAGTTTGACCCTGTGTGCAAGGCCTTCTCATGTTTAACCTGATAACTTACCTTCCTTGGATCTGAGGAGCTGAGCTGGTGCTGCACATGCTACTGTAAAAGCTGCTCCAGGTACCACACTTTCTGTTCAAGGAGGCACTGAGTGAGGCACTTTCCTTTGGGGGCATTGCATAATAAATTTCTTTATTTATCACATCAGACCCAATTGGGGAAGATCAGAACCACAAACTGAAAGGCATGAGCTCGGCAGCATTCTTATTGTCTCCTTTCAAAGGCACCTGCGGTGGCGATGCCTGGGATCTACGCAGCAGGTTAGAGCACTAAGAGAGCATCAGTGGATCTAGTTGTACTTCGTAAACATTGTCTTCCAGGGTTTCCTGCCTCTGGCCCTTGTCAGCAGCTTGTGTGAGGCCTCCTAATTTTGACTGTGTTGGTGATAGCCTACTGGTTTGAGTTGGGCTTGCTTGCTGAGAGGTCGAATAGAAGCAAGTTCTGGGATCCAAACTGTTCCCTGGTGCGTAGGATGGTGGTGCTGTGCTCCTCTTCTCAGAGCTTATTGTGGGGGCAAAACTTGACTCCGTGTTCAACTCTGGTAGCACTGGCATTGTATCTATAATTTCATATTGACAGGACAAAGACACATCCTCCCTTTCATAAAAGGCCATGCCAAAAGGGATAGCACAAAATACAAGATCCGAGGGGAGCAGCTTAAATTCGTTGGCTGGCCGGGTAATCACAAACCTGTAAGAAAAGCCAGAGAATTGTTAGCTTCTGAAGCTGCAGGGTTGGGTGGCTCCTGGTTCTCTGGCCAACCCAAGAGGCCAAGAGGCCATTTTGCTGGGCTGAAAGATGTATGTGTGTGTGTGTGTGTGTGTGTGTGTGTGTGTGTGTGGGTGGCCTTGCTTCATTGATTCTTGATAAATAGTAAATCTCTATGGCACTCTGGGAAAGGAGATTCCCTGGAATTGGAATTAGGAGGCTGGCTTTCAACTCTGTCTCTGAATCCAGACACTTTTGGCCTTAGTCATGACTTTCCCCGTAATTGGTGGGAGAAGTTAATCTATGGTACTTGCTTTTAAAACACACTCATGAATTTAACTGGCACACTGCTGGGCACTTAGTGATACTTTGTCTAACTGGATGATCACATGTATCCTCTATATTCTGTTCTTGGTTTAAGTGTATGATAACATAATGCATAAGCTGCCAGATTTCACACAGAATAACAGCCTGACTAATAAGAGTTGTGAAAAATGAATGTCAAGAACACTCAGAGACTAGACCTGCATTGGAAGACTGTAGGGAAGCAACTTGCCTTAACTACTAACCAGGTATAAAGCACATTCTTCATTCATGTGAGATACATTAATCAAAAGCTCAATATTCGTGTCAGAACAGCCTTTCAGGCTCATCTTGCAGGACCTGCAGCCTGTGTTTCTCCCCTCCCATCTACAAGATCACATTAGGGATCCTTCTTTCTTCATGGAATAATCCAGCCATTAGGTCTCTTCCACTCCATCCTCTAGAACCCTATTCTGTCCTAAACAAAACTCTCAGAAAGCATATACTCCCTAGAACATGGAAATGGCACTTGGGTTCCTGAAGTCTTCTCAGGTGTCAGGGATCTTCCTAAACTCATGGGAGATGGGTATTCAGAGAAAAAGCTGTCTATAGATTTCTGATTTTTTGAACCAAAAGGGATCTATTTGTTTAAATTACATTTTCCATGAACCTGTTGAAGTACCCTTGTTTAAGCTGAACATTTTCCTAGGATTGTGTTCTATAGACCTCCTAGAGCTGTTGTGGATGGAGGAGAAACTTTAGAGCGGGAGGGAAGGTGGCAGGTAGAAAGAGAATGAAAGAATGAGTGGTGGATGTGGATGTCATTCCTGCTTCCCAGTGCTGCTTTCAAAACATCACTTCTCTTCCAGCCTCCCACTGACTGTCTTCATGAGTTCTGTAGAGCCTCAACACTCTCTCCAGATTCATCAGTGTCATCCATACTCATACAGGTTTATTGAGGTCTTTGAACTCAGAATGAATATTCTTTCAAACTCTAATGCCACTGTCATCTTATGCACCTGTAGTGTCTCTGTGGTTTCTAAGCCCACCATCTGGACCCATCTCTATATCATCTAGCATGCAATGATCTTTTTCTCTAAACCAGTTTCCTGCCCACATTCTGGGTGTCACAATTTACTGGCACTGTATCATCTCAACAATCTTAAGCTTCAATCAATCACTCTGACCACAGTTTCCCATCATCCTTCCTGAGTTATTGCCACACTCAAGAGTTCAACTACCCTTTCATTTCATCAGGATTTCCAATCCTCTCCCTTCACTTTATGGTCTAACGTTACTTCTCAAATCCCCAATAAGCCTCCTCTTCTGCTCCTCTCAGCACTCAGTCTAAGCCTCTATGTTTTTTTCTCAATTCTCTGTAATGTTTCTTCCCTCTTCTCTCTGAGCATTGGCTGAGAAATCCTGCTGCTAAATAAAAACTCTCACTAGCATGTTCCTTACACAGAGCCATAGCTGCTTTAACATCTTTGCTTTGCTTCCTTTTCTCTCTTATGAACAGAAACATGTTTTTTCTTTCCTATTCCAGACCATTTCACTGAGTAATTTGGCTTCCCTCTCCTTTCTCCGGCAACAGGTTCCATTGCTCCATTTCTATTCCATTAACTTTAACTTACTCTTCTTAGCCTTCTAGATGCTATCTCCACCATGAGAATCTTAATGAGAACATGCTTGATAATGCTCATTTGAAATGCTTCTTTCCTTCTCCTCCCACCCCTTTCACCATTTACTCTTCATTCCACATTGTTATCACATTGGTCTTAAAGAAAAGAAAACTGAACATACCACTACCATGAATCATATGTGCCAGCGCAGTTGCTAGATAAAAAGCATCCCATGATCCAGCCAAGTCCAACAAGCGTAGAAGAATACAAGGGAGTCTTTACAATGTTGACAATGGCTTTTCATGTTTAGAAACTTGCATGGACACTGATTAAAGTAACTGCAAAAGAATTCTGATTTAAGATTTTCTTCTCTTTTTCTGTTTTCACTGGGAACAGACTCTACTGTGTTTTGCATTGCAGTTCTTGATGTTTGTAGCCTGTGCCATTATTATTAAATTTGCCTTTCTTGCAACTGTGGACCTTAGGCATTGAAGGAAATTAACCCTGTCTGCTACATTTGGCAACTTGACACACATTTTCCAAACTAGCATACTCCCCTTTTGTTCTCCGGGTTATGCTCCTCATCTTCTATCATGCGGTATAAACCAACACACAGGATTCCAAGATTATCCAATGTGCCACAGAACAGTTGTCCAAAGGTTTCTCTTGGCTAAAGAAGGAAGATAAAAACAAATATCTGCTGGATACTTAAGGCTCTGTAATATCAAGCATCTACTAGCATGCATTGACCTTTGCGAGAAGTTTGGGAGACATCAAAACCATTTCTTATAAAACTCTATGATGATCATATTAATTGGGAATGTAGTTAAGTTTATTATTAGCTTTAAAACTTTAACCTCAGTGGTTAGGCTCGTTATTCTGGTTCTTGTAAGAATTCTAAGCACATGTGGTGTGACGTGTGGTTGTTTTGGTAACTACTAAAAATTAACACATAAAAAAAGGCTTGACAACTAATTTTTTGGGTACATGATAACTTGAGTTGGTAAGCATCCTCAAAGAGTCATGTTATTCCATTCTTACATGTCCTTGACCTTGCTCTCAGGTTTTGTCCAACCAAACCACTGAGAACAGATAACAGGTTCAACAGCAGAAGTTAATGAATCCAGTCAAATGAAAAGACAGTATTTGCTTAATTCCGGTCTTCCTGGGATAAATAGAAAAGTGAGGATGGGAATCATGTGGGTATAAAGAGGAGGAGTCTGGTCTAATCTCCTATAACCTCTAATACAATAGGAAGTTGTCAGCAGTAGTTTCCAGGGCATAGGGTCACTCACAAGTCAGCTGTCACTAAGGAACACAGGACCAGAGATAGAAAAAGACTGGATGATTCCAAGGGACTTGTTGGAGACTCTTTGTCCATGCACATATGCATATAACAAAGGATTTGCCATTTGTATTGGTAGCGTATGTTGAGATGTACACTGGGAACAAAGGCTTGCAAGAGTGGGCTCCTTGTTAAGCTGTCCAGGTGATATACTACAGAGTAACAGAGTTTATTTTCTTGCAAAGACTTATTCCCAACAAGGAACAGCTTGGATCAGACCTCGGGTCAGCAAATGGACCCCTGCTCAGGCACTGGTTGACAATTTAGCTTTAAGCAAGTCCCTGCTTCTCTGAGTTTCAGATTCTTACTTTGTTAAAGCAATCAGTGCCTGCCCTTTAAACCCTCAGATGATGTGAGAAAAACTAGACTGGTACAAGGAAAAGATTTAGTAAATATTAGCATTAAAATTGCAATAAATTTCCTGGTCAGGGCACAATGTCATTGGGTGTCTTATGCTGTTCAATATATGAGATTCAGCCCTATATACATAACAGAGATTTATGTTTCAGAGTTCTGAATGATGGCATGTCCTCCAGGTTCAGGAATCTTGTATCATCCAATAAAGGATGGCAGAAGGGCAAGAAAGCATGGCAGGGTGTATGGTAGGGGTGGGAGGATAGAAATAAAGAACAGTGGAGAGAAAGAGAAAGGGGCCAAAGTCATTCATTAATTTTGGAATTCACTCCAGTGATAACTAATCCACTTTGAAGATAACAGCGTTGATCAGGTCCACAGAACAGAGTCCTCCATGACCCCTTGAACATCCTACCTTTCAATATTATGAGTTTGGGAATTAAGTTTCCAAAAATGAACTTCGGAAACCTCATTCAAGCCATGTCATGTAGAATTCCTGAGGCTTCCTGACTTACTTAGCTAGAAGGTGGGGATAATAGTGGCTGCTTTATTTGCCCCTTAGGATTGTTACAAATGTGAAGGGTGTTGATTGCAGGACTCTATGAAATACAGTGAATTGTAAAACAGCCTATGTATTACTGATTACTTTCTGTGTTAGAAGCTATCTAACACTTCAGAGAGGTTGGATCACCTTCAGAAACTCAAGAGAAGTGAGGAGATGGGAAACTTCATTGTGATAAGAGTATACTCACTTTAACAGATGACAGAATGTTTTGGTCTAAGGACAGAAGCCCCAGCCTACACCGCAATCTTCCAGAGGAGAAAGTACTGCAGCTGTCAGTCATGTCACAGAATTTCTCCTTATCCAGATGTTGTTCCAGCTGGGAGCTTATCCCCTCCTGTCACCAGCATCTGGAGTAATTCTAAGACGTGATAGTTGTAGAAGGCCTAGAAAGTAAGGAGAAGCTGTGATCACATCCCAAGGAGCTGATGTGTGAATGGTGGAGGAGGAAACGCTCGGAGAGTGAGTGGACATCACTGCTTGCAATGAATCTGATGGTGCAGAGCAGTGTTTATCATTCCCATCATCAAAGTCTAATCAAATATGGCAGTTCGGGTGGTATTCTGGATTACGCAAAGTGAGGAAAACACTTAGTTCCTGGTCTCCTCAAATCCACACTGTACAAGAGGGGTGTGGGTCATTAGGCTGCTGCCAAGGATTCTTCCCTTCAAAACATGACCAGGGGAGCCTGGTGCCGTGGTCTAGTGGCTAAAGTCTTTGCCTTGAATGCACCAGGATCCCATGTGGGTGCCAGCTCTAGTCCCGGCAGCTCCACTTCCCATCCAGCTCCCTGCTTGTGGCCTGGGAAATCAGTCAAGGATTGCCCAATGCTTTGGGACCCTGCACCCGCATGGGAGACCTGGAATGAAGTTCCTGGTACCTGGGTTCGGATCGGTGCAGCAATGGCCGTTGCGGTCACTTGGGGAATGAATTATCGGATGGAAGATTTTCCTCTCTGTCTCTTCTCCTCCCTGTATATTTGACTTTGTAATAAAAATAAATAAATCTTTAAAAAAAAACATGAACAGAGAAGAATTTTGGGCCCAGATGCCCTAATAATCATATATATGCAAACATATATACATATATAACATATTTATGCATCTCTATATATGTACACATATTTAATGAGATCACCTTTACTACTATTTTCATTCATATTTGAGTGTTCTTGGTGTGAGTCTACATATATATGTAACATGGGTATGGTCCATTTGGGTTCAGGTACTGGCTCAGATATTATTAATGACTGGATTTAGCCCACTTCTTTTTATATCTTTCAGAAGCGGCTAGAGAAGAAAAAGTACATGAATGGAGTTTTAGAATCAAATAATTTGCATCATAATGAAACCAGAAGGGGACATGTAGGTCAATTTCTTATTGTGAAACACGTTTCACATTGAATAATCCTCCCCATTTTCACAAACTCCCTTTTCCCCAGAATTCAAACCATAATGAGTAGACAAGGCATTCATACACATTGCAAATCCATGATAGTATACCTATTTCTTCTTCTTAGACTAATAAATATGTGGTGTTTTAAAAATGTTCACCCTCTGCCACATCTGAATTAGCTGTTTAGTCCAGTCAAAGTGAGAATTTCTCTGTTGTTACCAGTACAGTGTGGCTCATCTTCCCCAAACTCATGTAACTGTCTGAACAAATTCTCAAAACACAGATAAACAAACAAACAAAGTTGTGCTCCTCAGAGGATGGACTTTGTCTCTTTAACATTCAAACCCTCACAGATGCATTGGATGCACAAATGTTTGGGTGACATAAAAGTACTGATTGCAATGGTCATTGCTGTGCATGGTGAGCTAAACCTCAAGTTGTGGCACCAGCATCCCATGTGAGTGCAGGTTGGTGGCCTGGCTGCTCTACTTCTTTCCATCTCTGTTTACAGCCTGAGAGAGAAGCAAATCATGGCCCAAATTCTTGGACTCCTGCATCCATGTGGGGCACCCAGGAAACTTTCCTGGCCCCTGGCTTCAGATTTGTTTAACTCCATCCACTGCAGCCATTTAGGGAGTGAACTATTGGATGAAAGATCTCTGCCTCTTCTCTCTACGTAATTCTGCCTTACAAAGGAAAACAGAATAAATCTTTAAAACAAACAAACAAACAAAAAGAATACTGATTACAGCCGGCAGGTGATTTCCATCAAATGTGCAAATCCTGCTTATAGAGGCAATGGGTACAAGTTCACCTAAGAAATAATATGAGAATATTTTCAACAGTTGAAAAAACATGGAGATAAAGAGAAGTTGATTTTGGTGGATTTGTTTTTAATCCCTGTGTGTTCATCATTAACTCTTTCATGAAAAACAAAAATAAAAAGAAAAAGGCTGGGATTTTAAAACTTGGCTGCCAAAATCAACTCATCTTTCACTCTCAGCATCCACCAACTCTTAAAAATGCTCTTTCTAAATTTATGTGAATTCAGAGACAATGAAAAGAACTTCTACACTAGTTTTCAGATGAAGATGCCCAATCGAATGATTAGTCCCACACCTCTGTCCCATCCTGCTATGCTGTTGCTTTGTTCTGCTTCAGAACCATACTGAAAAGCACCTGCCAAGTCAACCATGACATCCAGGAGACTTCTGAGGTTGCAAATCCAGGGTTGGGTGACAATCCGTTTAAGAAGCATGTGGCCATCACATAGAGTGATCAAGCCTGATACTGTTAGGGTAATTCTCCAATGATTAATGAAAACCCGTAAATTCCAGGGCTATCCTGATGTCAGTGGCTCTAACCCAACATGTGCGTTACATATTTAACTTGGAGGCTTAGCTGTGGAACATGTCATTTCTTCAGCTTTGACATCACAAGCATTGAGAGAATATATTAAGGAGAATAATGGGATTTGTGTGTCACCTTTGTTCTGGGAGCTCCTCTCCTTTTCTGATTATCCTGGCTTCCCTGGCACTGGCCTGTATGAACCTCTCTTTTTTTCTCCTTTTCCCTCCTCTCTCTCTCTCTTTCTCTCTCTCTCTTTTTTCTTTCTCAAGGATACCTGCAAGTGGAAATGCTCTTGCAATATGTTCAGATTCCTAAACTTGGATAGTTATTCTATAATGTAATCATGCCTGCTAGAGCTTGGACTTCCAGTATTAAAAAATGCTGCAGCCTTAAGATAAAAAATTTGGGGGGACGGCACTACCCACTCATAGTGAACTGTTCAGCTCAGTGACCTAAGAAACAGCTGTGATGTGGGAGACCTTATCTCATCAGAAAAGGAAAAATACTCCACATGCTCATGATTGGTTTTGAAACTCTTAGTGTACAGCCATCCAGGAGTCCTGTAAGGAGATCTGCCTGCTTCATATTTAAATCTTTACAGAATTGAAATACCAGAGGATTAAGAGTGGGTCTAATTGATATAGTGTGTGTACATATTTGCTTTGCGCTGGAGTTTATGATAGACTAGCAGGGCGGTATTTGTTGTCAGCCACTGCTCATTGTATCAGGACATTCAGAGAGAAAGCACATCCAGTTATATTCAACCAAATATCATGGATCTATTGTGCTGATAAAGTTTTAAAAATTATGTAAAAATGTGGGCCTGGGGCAATAGCATAGTGGTTAAAGTCCTTGCCTTGGATGCGCTGGGATCCCATATGGGTGCTGGTTCTAATCCCAGCATCCCTGCTTCCCATCTAGCTCCCTGCTTGTGGCCTGAGACAGCAGTTGAGGATGACCCAAATCTTTGGGACCCTGCACCTGTGTGGGAGACCCAGAAGAGCTCCTGGCTCCTGGGTTCAGATTGGCTCAACTACAGCCATTATGCTCACTTGGGGAGTGAAGCATCAGATGGAAGATCTTCCTCTCTGTCTCTCCTCTTCTCTGTATATTTGCCTTTCCAATAAAAATAAATAAGTCTTTAAAAATGTGTAAAAATGTAACATGAAAACTCAGCATTTCCAAGCAGAACCAAGTTTAAACCCAACCCTGCTATGCCGTGCTACCTCTGGGAGGCACACATTTGTCTCCCATGAAGGGGAGGCAAAGCTGAACAAGCACTGTTTTCTGAGTCACTGGGGAAGAAAGAGAACCTGGAAATGCCATGTCAGGTATAGAGTTCACCAACATGGAAATGAAGGTGGTGCTCATACCTTGATAGGATTGGTCCCTTTCCAGAGGGAGCCTGCTTTGAGCACTGCTGATGCCAGCTTTGCTCCTCCGTGAAAGGAGAGCATAAAGGGAACAGGCCTGTTGAGACTGATATGGCCTCTGCCTCTTCAGCAACCAGCTACATGGCTCCTGTGGTGTCACACTGGGCAGCAGTCACAAGAATGAACCCTAGAGGGCGCTCCTTGGGTATGGGATCTTTTTGGGTGAAAGAGACAGGCAAAATGGACTGGAATGACCAGCTCCTGCCTCAACCTACTTTCACAGGACTTCTGCCTGGAGACCGGATGCCTGTCTTAGAACAGAGTTCCAGGATGTTGTCTAGGTTACATCTCTCTCTTGGTGATGTATTTCAACTTAGAGAGAAACTGTCTTGAAAATATTTGCGAAAGAAAATTTTCTTCCAGTACAACCTTATCCTGGCATATCAGAGAAAAGCAGAGTTGCTTCTAACTGCAATGAATGTTATGGGAGCCACATATTTGTGTCTCTTCATCAGCCCTGAGCACTCTTGGTCATGGATTCCTTTAAGCAAGACTTGGAAAGCCCAGCATTGGAAGAAAGTTGGTGACTGAAGATAAATGTCCCCACGAGAGACATGTGGGTGACAATCATATGACTCAGGAATTCCTTCACAGGTGAGTATGAAAACCAACGATTGACTTACAAGCAATGTATGACTAATGGCCTAACTGTCAACATCTATATAAGAGGCCGATGATGAGTGTTCTCCTAGCTGAATGGATAGGAGAATTCAGTGAGGCCATGTGTGCTGTGACCTTGGCACAATGTCAGTGCTTGAGCAATGTAATTACTCCTTCTATGGCAGATAGTACTGCTATTGTTGCTGATATAAGCTCAACTTATTATCTAAACTTTTTTGGAGAAAGTTTCATGAAGGTCTGTATCTGGGAAAGAATCAAGTATAAATTAGTGCTGAAGAAGAGGACCACTGCGCTCCCCAGTGATGAATGGCCTGTGCCAGCAATGGGACAAAACTTCTTGGGGAGATGGAGGTCTTTGCCTACCTCCCAGCTTCCAGTAATGTTGAGCATGCATCGTGAAGCAACCTGAGCATTTATGAACATATCCCAGAGCCACTCAGCCACTCTAGTTGTTTTATTAGGAAACAATCAGTATTCTCTTCTTGCTTGGGGTTGTTTCCAAATGATAAGACTGAGTGGGTGGAGGGGGAAATTAGTCAAGATCAAATGATAGTCAGAAGAGTATTAATTGGAGACTTGGGCCTGCTCTTGTGTTCTTTCTTTCCATGTGGATGATATGGTAGGAAGGTCCATTCTTAAAAGGTCAAATAGAGGTGTTGGCACCATGTATACCAGGCTAAGCTCCTGCAAATGGAAGCCAGTTAATGCCCTGGGTTGCTTCGCTTCCAATCCAGCTCCCTGATTTTGGGCTAGGAAATCAGTGCAGGACAGCTCAAGTCCTCAGTCCTCTGCACCCACATGGGGAACCTGGAGGATTATCCTGGCTTCCAATTAGCTCAGCTCCAACCATTATGGCCATCTGGGGAGTGAACCAGCGGATGGAAGACCTCTGGCTTTCCTTCTCTCTTTCTCTAGAAAAAGTTAAATAAATCTTTCTAAAAACAATAGAAAGCACAAATAAAGCCAGTAGGATATGCCTATAGCAAAAAGGAACAGAATTAGGCAGAGCATTTACAGACTGTCAACAATGGTTGCTTCCATTCTTTGTTGCAGCAGCGTTAATGTGAATTCATTTTGCAGCATGATCCTTCACTTATGCTTGAGTAGCTAGAACAGAAGTCCAATGGCCTAGTGAGAGATTTAAAGGTCCTATTAGTGTCCTTAACAGGGATGCTGCCTTGTCCCTTGGGGGTTGCCATCCCCAAACTCTGCTTCAATTGACCAAGTGCCAGTGCTAACTCAGGCCCCTTACCAGGGTTTACTCAGGGCAAGCTGTTGATTCAATGTGGGGTATACCCACATATAACAACCTCTATGTCAGTCCACACTATGTGGTTGCTTTTCTGTCTTGCACATGTCGCCACAAGGCCTCAAATTGCAAAGACTTTATATGATTCATTTTGTTTTCCAGCTTAAACAAAACAAAACCTTTCACTGGGCAGACTGGGGAAGATGCAGCCCTGCTCGAACTGCCCGAGCCAGCAGAACCCTGAGTTGATGGGCAGGCTGAGGACAACACAGCCATTCTCAGACCACCCTAACCAGTAGAGGGATGGGGAGCCTTGGGCCCAGTGCTGTAACCTCCTGCCGTAAGAGCAATGCTCTTTAGTCTAGGTGTTGTTTTATGGGCTGTTGTGTGGAGTGTGCTCATTTGTTTTCATTTCCATTCTTTCAGCAGGTATCTGTCCTTCCTGCCTGATTTGCTTCAGTATGTTCCCCTTTTAAGTTAGTGTCAAAAACCTTTCCCCCAATGCCATGGTGTTGGGAGATGGGAAGCAGAGCCATCTTCAGCAGACGAATGTCCTTATGCTGGGAGAGTACAAGTTTTCTTGGAGTGGGTGTCTGAGTAAAAGGTTGAGTTTGATATCGAGGCCCTCCCCTCTCTGTCTCTCTTACTCCCCCCCCCCACCTTTTTGCCTTCTTCCATGTTATGACCCAACACCAAGCCCTTAAATATCATGCCAAGTAGACATGGTGCCATGTGTTTGGACATCCCAGCTTCCAGGATGAGGAGGAAGGGATGCACGCAATCTCCTATTGTTTTATCAATTTCCCAGTCTCAGCTACAGCAACACTGCACAGACTGAAATGCTGCCCTTCTGCCCAACTCCAAATGAAATCTGTGACTTTGCTCTTGCCAGTGTGGGCAGGTCTGATTTAATTAAGTCTTCAGCTTAATTTAAGGCATGAATCTGTCTGCCACTGAACAATCTAAAGAGAGCTGGGACCTTAAAACCATCTCATGCCAACAAGTTAAGATCACCTCAAGTCACCTTCTGCCTGACACAGCAGTCGTTAATTCCAGGCAAGCTAACTGACATATCAGGAACAGAAAATAGGATGGTGCAACAGGCTTTCTGTCAGAGCCACCTCCCCACCAAAGTCACCAAACCCTCTTCTCTCCAGCAGATCCCTTTCTCCTGCAGTCTAGGTTGAGTCTTGTTTAACCCTTTAATAACTCTGAAGTAACTCTGGTAACCGGCTTGGTTAGTGCTAACTATACCTGAAGTACAGGATTCTGCATCTGAGAGCTCAGTGAGATCCATGATACCTCCAGCACAGCTGGGATGCATAGCACTCCTAACGAGTACCAGATGGCATTGATGTCCAAGGGATATTTGTATGCACCAGCTGTGTTCCTCTCACTTGTGTATGCTGTGCTCAAGGCGTGCCTTCAGCTTAAGAACAATGTTGTTTCTATATGGGGTTTCCAAACAACAATGAACTCATCGTCTTATGCTCGGTCCTTCGCAAACCTGAACACCTGTATATTGATGCTCAGCCATTTTGCAACCCTTTCCACAAATCTGAGTAGGAGGAGAAAAGAGGATGTTCGTTTATAGGAGTTAAATGCAGTCATCCACAAATGGTTATATGTGTGTTATCTTGGGGTAGTCAAATCCAAAATCTTTGAATATCCTTGGCTTGCTGCCACCTCATTGCTTCTGCCTGGGGTATGTCTTGTGTGAGAGGTCTGCATGACCTGTATCAGGTCTTCTGATTTAGAGCTTCATTCACAGGTAGCCTCTCCTGGCCATGTATTATAACCTACACCCTTTTGCCCCATCCCTACGACTCCCAACTAACATTTCCTTAGACCTGTGACTGCTTGTTACTTAGGATGTTCTTGCCAAACTCCTCCACTTGGTGCAAACTCTACATGGTGGAGATGTCTTCTTGTTTTATCACTACTCTAGACATCACACATTGTGCAGTGTAAAATTTCACTAGGCATTTGTAGGATGATGAGTTATGTCTGCTTATGGAAATCTTATCATGGATGAAGGTGTGTGTTTATTGCCTGAAGAAATGCTGAGAACAACTACGATGTTAAAGAAAAAATACATATGCCCGTTATATATTTGAATTAGCTCTGAACTCCAGGATTTCATGATGGCCAGTTTCAGTAGGTGCTGCCAGGGTGACGCTAGGCAGAGCAGAGAGAATATCATCCAGGCTGCAATACCAAAGGCCTGGTTGTTGATCCACAGTTGAAGTGGAAGGATCAGAACTCCTTCCTCCTGGTTTTGACTACTCTGGCTTCATGGGCATCAATTTTTTCGTGTCAAGAATGTGAACTTTTTTTTTTTAAATCTTTCCTTGCAGTCATGCATGGAGATGAGATGATGTACATGGATAAGATTCAGCTTTGAAGATCAGGGAGGACTTGGAATGGTAAAGTACTGTTGTCTGCCCAGCTCTAACTTACCCAGTCACCCCTCGGCCTGGGACCCCTTTTGGACCCGACTACACTTACCGTGGCCAGCAGGGAGTCCAGGAAGTTGCCAGAAAAGACGGTTCCCGCGGAAAAGGAAGTGCTAAGGAGCAGGTTGTTTTCTTTCAGGTTCCCCTCCAGCCCACCAAGTTGTTCGATAAAGTGGATGTTGGAAGGATTTTCTGCAAGGCAGATGGCAAAGAAGACACACAAATTGAGAGGTTTAAAAATACAAGGACATCCACAAAACACAGGCTGATGTGGCCCCCTGGTCAAGGGACAGAGCCTCTTTGGGGTCTCTGTGGGATTGGCCCCCACTTGATGTTTCTGTGGGATTGACCCCCCACTTGGAGGCATTTTTTTCTTTTTATGCATCTTCCTCCCTTGAAATCATGCCTGCCCCACCTCCTGGCATCCGTCTGTCCTCTTAGGGACAGTTTGCCACAGCAGGTCCAAGTTGCTGCAGATCAATATTCTGGGTGCCCCATTGCTGTGAGGACGCTTTCAACATTTTGTGTGAAAATTGAATAAAATGGTAGTGATTTTGGTGCAGAACATTTGAAAATCAGGCACATTGCTTTTTTCAGAGTATACATTTTCCTTGACCATTTGATAGATCCCTTGTGTTGCTTGTCTTTCCAAACAAAGCAATTTGGGGACCAAAGGGAACACTGAGTAACTGTACTGGGGCAAAAGGCACAATAGAGGAACCTATGGTCATCCCAGCTGTAATCTTCTCACAATACAATGTCACAGATTTCCACATGTCTGCTGGGATTCCTAGAATTACTTGAGTCCAGATTGAACTGGAGCAGTACTTTGAACCACCTGGTGATCTTGTGACAATGCAAACTCTTAACTCATTCCATTTAGGGTGGGGTCTGGAAGTCCACATATCTAGCCAGCCCCCAGAAGCTATTGATGCTCCTGATTCATGCTCTATATAGAGTAGCAAGGGTTTACAGAATCATTCTAATTGAGGCTAGTGCAATGACAGCTAAATTGTTCATTTCTTTTTTTCTATCTGTCTCCAGCCTGCAACTATTACTCCATACATGGTCTCTGCCATGAATAATACTGATCATTGTTAAAAGTGAGATTGGATGCATTGGCTGCTGCCTTCCTGAACTATTGCTTCAAAAATATTTGTCCAGGGAGAGAACAGCATCAGGTGTCAGACATTTGGTCTGCCACCTGGAGCAGATGGAAAAGCATGCTTACTCTCCATCATATAAGATTGTGATTCCCTAAACTCAGGTTCTTTTTCTATAGACTCTTGATACAGTTGTGTCTTTGCTCTCATTCATGTCTCCCTTTGGGAAGTAAGATTTGAGCAATAAGCACCAAAATGGTGATCCTCTAGCTACTCTTACTCTTGTAAAGAATATAAGATGCAAGTTTTGCTTTGTTTTGAGTTTTGGCTAGCATCCACGAGACCTGTGGTTAACTTCTTGGTTTGTTAGCAGAATGAAGATGTCAGCAGTTCACAGATCTGGCCATTGAAGTTCTTGGTAATACAGATCAAAACAAACCCACTGGACATAAAGGTCAGAATACATTCTTCAATTAGAGTTGTTTATTCCTTAATCCCCTAAAGTGTTAATAAATTGGGGGGAAGTGAAACAATCTTTTTTTGCCCCAAGTACAATAGTATTTTTGATAAAACATGAACAAGAGGGGACTAATCCCACCCCACCTCTCCGTATACTCAGACTTTCTTATCCTTGTGTCACCAGGATAAGAAACATGCATGAAGCTTTGTCCAAATATTGCTGTGTCATCTTATACCCATGGCCTCAACTTTTCTAGCCATGTTCCTGTAGACCTTGGTATGTTCTCTACCAAAATGCTGGCAGTCAGCCCTACAGTTGTCATATCTGTATGGCCCTTTTCAGCCATCCAAAGAACAAGTACTTGAGCTAAGTGACAGGTGAATTGTTAGGTGCATCTATTCTTTGATTGAACTGAGATTAGAAGTCCCAAGAGAGTGAGTGGGTGTTCCTCAGGGCCAGCAAGGCAGTTAACTGATTTTCTTACAACCACTCTAATAGACAGTCTGTTTTTACTTAATGTACTTAGTATGTATATATACCTCAGAAGATAGAGATGGCCCCAAATGGAAGAAAAAATAGAAGTAATTACCAATAGGCTGACAGGTTCGGGTCATAATCCAGGAGTTTCAGATGCTCGAAGATGAATCTTAGGAATGTCTGCTCCAGAATGAGAGCGATGAGGCTAGGGTCCCACCTACTACAATGTCACCTCAAGCTCACGTGGCACTGGGACCTTCTGATTCCTCTCCAACTGCCCCTGATTTGTTTCTAAGACCAAGAGATCTGTTCGTCTATTGTTACATGGCTCCAACTCAGCTAAATCTCTGTCAGGCATTTCACTATATTACAATTCCCTGGACCAGCTTTAGAGATTGACTTTGGGTTGGCTTAATCTGTGTGGGTTGAGGGGGGGCAAGGTAATGTTCTGTAATCCTACAGTATCTTTCCCCTTCTCTTCAATGACTTACTGTGAGTAGTGAATTCTAATGGGTCTCCTAAAGACCCCTCAATGCATATTGGGTAACTTTCCTTGTATTCCCCTGCATAGCTTCCTGGCCCCAGAATTGCTGCCATCAAAGGAAGTCGAATGTTAGTAAGGGGTTGGCATAAGACAACAGCTTATTCTGTCATTGCTCACAAGAGTGTTTCCATTTTAGAGGAGCACCACTCAAAGCTGGGATTGAAATGATGCAATGAGATACCCGGGACACAAAATTTAAAAGCTTCCCAGGTGAGTGCCTCCTCAAAGTCAGCTTTGCAAGATTCACATTCTTCCTAGACTTGACTGAAAGTCCCAGGATGGGTAGAAAAGTCAGTCCAGGGAAATTCTGTCAGTCTTCAGATTCATATCCTCTCCTGTTGCCTAAGACTGAGCCAGTTGTTGGTCTTCCTTCAACTCCTGGTAACTAGAAAGTAGCAAATGAAGATCTCATCTCTAACCCCAGACCTCAGAGGTGGCAGGCTTGGCCCACTTGTCAGGAATGGGTCTAGTGTAACATCCAGCAGACATTTCCAGCTCTCTGGGCTCCATTCTTGTTCCTCTGTCCTTTGACTACATGCTACAAAGAACCTTGGGACATCAGTATGCTTCAGAAGGATTTCTCCCTGCAATTTTGCTCTTGAAACATCACTTACTCAGTTCAGTGATAATGGGGATTCTTCGGTATTTTGGTCTCATCAAATCTTCATTATAGATAGTTGATCTTCTATCTATAGGCAATACAGAAAAGTCAAGGAGAAAAAACAAGATGATAAATGCCAGGAAATTAGCTTGCAGAACCTGACAAGGACATTAAAAAAAAAAAACATGTTAACTTGTTGCTTTATTTTAGCACAGTCCTCTCATTTCCAAATCAAAATATATACATTATGATCACTCCTCAGTCCTTTTTGGAGAATGTTGACAAGATGTTCAAGCTCCCAAAATTCAATGATGTACAAGTCCCTAATATATATTCTTCTTATATGGCTTAATTTTCTAGATTTCTTATAAAGCCTAATACAATGGAAATAGTGTATTGTTAAGGAAACAATGAGAAGAAAAAAACATTCTGTGTGTGTTCAGTGCCGCACACCTGAGTATTTTTCCAAGTATTGTTGGTATAGTTGGTTGTGTGATTGTAGAACCTGTTGATACGGAAGGCTGGTGGTTATCTGAATTTCCTGAGCATCTCCTTTAGAGAAGTGGTGAGAGAAGGATCAGAGTGTGGTGTGTGCAAACACATGTTGGCCAAACTGCTCTTTCAATGAATGACAGCAGTGGCTGAGCCCTCTCTCAAGAGCTGCTTGCTGACATCATACCTAAGATGTGATTCTTCCCTTAGCAGCAGTAGCACTGAGTGACCACTCAGTCCAGCAGGACCCCCCTCCCCACCCCTACTATGTCAATCTGTTTCCAGAATGCTTAGGAAATGGATTTAATCAGCAGCAGCATTCTGGAAGTACTCATGAGCCACTGCTTCCACTTCCTGCTATCACCTGTCTGAGTCTTGTGGATCCTCTCTGGCCTGCAGGGTTACTTATGGCTTTGTTTACCTCTGGAGAAGAGGCTGCTTGCTGCTCTCATAAAATGACACTGACTGTGAGCACTTGAGGAGGCTGGTGCGACTCAGTTATACATGCCTTTTTCCCTGCTTCGGATGTGATATAGTCACCCAGGCAAGGGATGAAGCATCACACATGGTTTTGTCATGCAGCTACCTGCTTGAAGAATAAGCCTGATACCAGAAATTTGCTGTTACACGAAAACTATAGCGAGCAGAGAGATATTGCAAGCTAGGCTGCACTTAAGCACACGTTCTCTCGGTGGGAGTTATGCTTTCAACTATTAATAACTGTCCTGGAACTTCTGTGAGAGTGCTGTGTAACAGGCTGAAAATACCAGGAAAGTTCAAAATGTGTTATCAATTAAGACTCTGTTGCTTTGGAAGAAAAGGAAATACTTGGAGAGTCCTTCGCTAATTTAGGTCATTGGAAGAGGAAGGCAGAATAGGAGAAGTAGTAAATGGAGGTGAGTGACATAGGAAAGCCATACAGGTACAGACAAAAGTGAAAATGATGAGGCATTCAGGCAAGAAAGTAGAGATGGGCAAGAGGAAATCCAAAGGGAGATGTAATTTTTTACAGAAGGAGTGCTGTGTGTTGCAATATTTAACACCCCTTCGTCTCTCCAAGAAATGCAAAAGTACTTCAAAAAGTTCATGGACAATGTGCATTTTTGAAAAAAAAACAAAACATTGTATGGATTTCAAGCTGTTTTTGCACCACAACAAATTTATCTCAATTCCACTTTCACATGAGATTTTTAAAGTACTCTGTGTTAATTGAAAGAACCACGTTAGTGCAGAACAGAGCTGAATATATTTCTAATGTCCACGAAAAATTTTGAGTCATTTAACTATGCTAAGCCCCGAAGCTCCATGTGAAGAGTCCAGGCATTTGGTTCATGATAGAGCCAGCAGTTGCCCCTTATGTTTGATTAAAAACCTTCAAGATTGAGTAGACTAACACAGCTATTTAATAAGGAATAATACCTTGGTGCCAAGATATGCAGTTCATCAGGAAATCTTACTCGTGATGGGACATGAATAACATGGGCTATTTTTCCTTTTAAAATGTGAATTTTGTGAGAACTTGATACCTAGAACTATGCCAGATGCTCTCTCCACTTATGTTCTCAAACTTCACCCTTTCCTGTCTCCCATTCTCCTTCTTCCCCTACTTTCCTACCTCTTTCCCTTCCTTTGTCCTGAGCACAAACATCTAAAAGGCACCTGTTCCACACTAGGGTTGTGGACAGTTCCTGCTGAATCTATTTGTCATATGTTGCTATAAGCATCAAAAAAGTCTGAATTTTAAGGCAGGAATAGGGAATATTTGATACATGGTGAATATATGTTGACAGAGAGGTAAATATTTTTGAAAGATCCCTCTGATATTATCAGTAGTAGACACTGCAGGGGATAAGACGTGTGTATCTGTGACATAACCTCCATGATTGCAGTGTAGTTACACCATCTTTGAAGGTGAGGAAGTCAGAACTCCAATTCAAGTTTGGCATAACTTTTCCAGAATCATGTGGCTTGTCACGGATGAATGGGGTTTCATATCTTGACTAGTGCCAAACTCAAAGTGCATGCCTTTTCCATGGTATCTCTTTTAAAGTCCCTTTAAAATATAAGGAGATACTTCAACAGGTTTATGGATATTGGAATTAATGGTATATTTATATTAGTGTAAAATTAAACATATACATACACATGTGGGTCTTCAAAACATTCATGAGGATGAGTATATTGAAAAAAAAAACCTGCATGCATTTAAAAGTCTTTCTGTGGGAAAAAGAATTTTATTAAAATCAATTTTATTTGAAAAGTAGTTCACTTTCCAAAAATCCATCCCAGTCCTGATTGGGCCTGATGAAGCAGGGGAGTGAAAAATCAGTCTAGGTTTCTTATGTAGAAGATGGTGATCCAAGGCCCGGCAGCGTGGCCTAGCGGCTAAACTCCTTGCCTTGAATGCGCCCGGGATCCCATATGGGCTCCGGTCCTAATCCCGGCAGCTCCACTTGCCATCCACCTCCCTGCTTGTGCCCTGGGAAAACAGTCGAGGACGGCCCAATGCTTTGAGACCCTGCATCATGTGGGATACCCGAAAGAAGTTCCTGGATCCTGGCTTCGGATCAGCATAGCATCGGCCATTGCGCTCACTTGGGGAGTGAATCATCGGACAGAAGATCTTTCTGTCTCTCCTCCTCTCTGTATATCTGACTTTCCAATAAATAAATCCTTAAAAAAAAAAAAAAAGATGGTGATCCAGTTACATGAGGCATTTCCTGCTTCCTCTCAAACATGCACTGGCAGGAGGCCAGAACTGGGAGTGCAGCTGGAACTCACACTTTGGCACCGAATCATGGGACGTGGGCATCTCAAGGAGCAGCTTGACACCTGCTACAAGGTTTGAATGGCATTTTCAGAAAAGCCTGAGATCATCTCTCCTCAGTGAGCAAACCCCTGTCTGGAGAAACTCTCCTTTGAACCTCACTTTCCGGTTTCAGTCCCCTGCCAGTGAACAGCTTTGAAAATCCAGCTTTCAGGGCCCGGCACCATATATTAGTGGTTAAAGTCCTTGCCTTGAACAAATTGGGATCCCATATGGATGCTGGTTCTAATGCAGCGGCTCTGCTTCCCATCCAGCTCCCTGCTTGTGGCCTGGGAAAGCAGTCAAGGATGGCCCAAAGACTTGGGATCCTGCACTCGCGTGGGAGGTACTGAGGAAGTTCCTGGCTGCTGGCTTCGGATTGGCTAGCTCCAGCTGTTGCGGCCACTTGGGGAATGAATTTCCAGGAAGAAGATTTTCCTCTCTGTATATCTGCCTTTCCAAAATAAATGAATATTAAATCTTTAAAAATAAAAGAAAATCCAGGTTTCAGAATCCAGCGTTTTGATTGAATACAGATACACCCACCTTCACTGAAGGGGCTGCACAAATATTTATTTGGGTTATTCCATTGAAGGATCGTAACTGGATTTCTGTCTGTTGCTCTATTCTCTTGTAGAGCAATGGTTAATTTAAGCATGTGTCCAATCATAGCCCCAGTACATTTTACTAATGTCAATATTTTTGCTACCTAATAGCGCATGATATACCTGGAATCTTCCAGCCTTGCAGGGCGCTACTCCAAAAGCTTGCTTAATGATAGATTCCTACTATACATTTCAATTTCAGTAACACATTAAGTTGTCAGACTTAATTACCATTATATATGTACAGATTATGCCACGGATTATTCAGTTTTGTATCGAGGTTTGCCAACCTGTTCTCTGGGTGACATGACAGGGCAGTAATGAGAGCACTAGTGGAAAACCTGATGTTTTCCGGGGACATGTCCAGGAGGCCTGATGTTCTTACTGATCCTCTGGATTCTGCTATCCCTCAATCCTTAAGCTCCCTTGGCAAATCTGTGTGGAAGTCTTGGCAGCTCGGGCTTGGCTTTGTAAGTTTTTAATGGTTGAGAAGATGTGGGAAAAGCCCACTGATCTTAGAGTTGTCACCAGATATCCAATGGCAAAGCCTCTGACACTGTTGACATGTCTTTGCTTTTTGAGAGAAAGGGTTTGCTGCTCTTATCCATGGATTCACTTCCTAGAAGCCTACAATAGCCAGGGTTGGCATGGGAATTCAATTCATTCGTCAAATGGAGGTAACAGGGATCCAACTACACTTGAGTAATGCAGTTTGCATTGGTGTGAAGCTAGCAATGGCAGCAGGAGCCAGGGATGAAGCCTGGAGAGTACAAAGTGGAGTACTGGATTCTTACTCACTAAACTGAACACCACATCCCACTTTTGTACCATGTGGAGTTGTCTTTGGCAGTATAAGAGGTTTATCAGCATCTCAGACGTCTCCCTGCTAGATAAGATATCAATTCTTCAATTGTGATAGCCAAAAGAATGATCAAAAGACATTAGGTGACAAAATCACACCTGCATGAGAACCACAGAGCTACAGAAAGGGAATAAAAACTGTGCATCAACCAGCATCTTCTGAAGCACACTATCAAAGATGTTTTCTACCTCCTGGGAGAATCCCACCTGTTATACTTCAAATTCTTGAAAGTATTCACATTTCTATCCTGAAGCTGGGATAGAAGAGGAATATAGACATGAAACAGGAAGAAGGGCAAGGGGGCCAGACACGTTTCTCTAGAGAATGAGATTGTGTGCTAACAAACTCTAGCTAGATTCCTTCATCAGCAATTGTAACTGGAAAAATGCATGTGCTTTTCATGTCTCCTTGAAATAGGCTCACAGTCTGGCCGTGGCTTTATATTAGGTAAACAGACTTGATGATTTTTACTAGATGGGTCATTGAAGCCTCTACAGACCTGTATTATTTCTACACAGAAAGGAAAATCCCCACCTCAAGGAAGTGTCACAAAGCCTGCTGATGCTGTACAACGCTCCTTCATCTGTCCTTTTCATCTTTGGGAAAAGCAGCTCTTCAGACTGTACTACCACTCAAATACTACAATATCACATTCCTTTCTGTTCCTCTTTCGCAATCCTCTCCTCGCACCACCATCCCCACCATCACATCTCTTCTTCAACCAAACCCATCAGTTGTTCTTGCTTCTTCTGGCCTGTGCCGGAGTACCTGACATGGATTACAAAAGCAGTCTGTTTCTGTTAGAGGAAGGCATGTTGAAAATTGCTAGGTATAAAGGAAACCAGAGTTAGAATCATGGGTTTATGTCTTTCTAGCTGATATAGGAGGTGAGGTTTCAAAATAAATCATAGTGGGAAGCCCTCTACTCACACTCATCATTAACTAAATGGTTTACAGTGTTGTCAGTTCATCCTGGACTTTTGTGTGCAAATTTTCATCTTTACATGGATAATTTTTTTCCCCTTACAGTAGATACTTCTTCTTTGTCCCATTATGGAGAGTCACAACATGCACAAGCGTTTGCTTGTAAATTATGTGCAAATATGAACAGTGACCCAAGTAGCTGAACTAAGGCTTCGTGTGGCACAATGCAACAGCATGTTTTGGGAGCCTCTGATGTTTTTGTTTGTTTGTTTGTTTTGTTTTTGTTTGTTTGTTTTGTTTTAGTTTGGTTTTGTGCAGCACTTTGTCAGCCACAAAGAGCTGCTTTGCAAAGGCTATGACACCCTGATACCCTGGATACTGAGTCAGGTTTGATTGCCTGGTGAGGGTGTGCCTAATCTTGTAGCAGTTTTTGTTCAACAACTGTAGTCCCATGCTTTCGTGGAATCAAAATTTATAACTTATATATCTGTAAGATCCAATGAGAACTGATTTATAATGAACACAACAATTGCTCTGCTCACCGATATTCAAATAACAACAGAAATAATAGTTGTTACAACTCTGTGAACTTTCTTTCTAAAGTAGGAAAACAAGACTGCATATAACTCCCTATGGTTTTGCCTCTTAGTACTAAATTATAGGGCGATGTAGTATTACAATCCTGCTATAGAATTGCAAGAGGTAGGCAGGGTCTTAAAGGAAATCTTTTTCAGGGAAAAGATCTTGATTGTTCAACCTCTTTCTCCCCCGTGTTTCAAGTTCATTAGAGACAAGTTTTCCTCCTTGCCTATTCCATGTTTTCTAGCATCTTCCTGCCACAAGTGCTGCTCTGACCTGTCGTGGTGTGGGCACTGGTGCTGATGCGCAGGGATCTGATGTTCAAGGTAGCCATGATTGCCTCTGTGTCTACCTGAATCTTGCTGCTGGACGGCCTGGAGGGGGGTGATAAGATGGCACACATGGAGCAGTACTCTATGTTGGCCACACGCAGGTCTGCAGGGTAGAGTGCCGATCCCTAAGGAGAGAGAGATGGTTGTAGGGACAAGTTTGTCAGGTGGTGGACTTTGTTTCCCGGCTCAGGGGACTGATGGGTGGCTTGATGCAAAGCCCTTCAGCCTTCACTGGTTTGGTTTTTGTAACTTATTTAGCTGCTATCTGACACAGTTTTCCCTATCATTTGTTAGCAGCTGTGTGTAAGTTTCTCAGAGCCAATGTGTATCTATCCACTTGTCCATCTAGATAGATTTCTAGAAGTTTCAGAACAGTTTCTGGTACTCAACATGTATGACACAAAGGCAAGTTATTATTACTATTATCATATCAATGCTAGTACTATTGTATTATGTATTATATTATTACAAACATTCACAATTATGTGTGGTACACTTACAGGCATAACATAAATCTGTGGGAAATTCCGAAGAAACCGCCATTCTTTCTGCATATAATCCAGAGACCCGATGAACACAATGTCCTTCAGCTCCCGCCGAGTGTAGTTGCTTGCTCTCAAGGGCATTACAAAGTTCCGAAGACCCATCAGTGTGGAGTGATTGTCCCCAAAGACACATGCGACGATGTGGTTCCGAAACTTGAGTTTTGATTTACCTGAGCGTTTCTAAGCAGAAGCATGTTAGAATGTGATCACTTTCAGTGTTTACCCTTGAAATCTGTTCCATCACATATCATATTCTCTCTTTCCACCTCTGCCTCCCTTTCTTCCTCACTTCTTTTTTTTCCTTCTCCCTCCCTCTCCTTCCTTCCTTCCTTTCCTTCCTTCCTTCCTTCCTTCCTTCCTTCCTTCTCTTTCTTATTTACTTAAAAGTAATTGGATACTGGCAGCTTCACATGATTCAAATTGATACACTAAACTGATTAAACAGATCCAATTGAGGAAATTCATTTTGCAAAGTACACAAAAAAATGTCATGGCTATGAGAATTCTATTTCATCCTAAACATTTGAATATGCCTTATGTGAAACATTGCATATTAATACATGCCCCCTGTACTTTTAAGCTGAAAACAATACATTTAAATTAGGTGTCTCCCAAATACTTCTGTAGGGGACTTATGGCAAACCTATGTCTGGTTTCCTTCAGTGATTGGACCACTCACCTCAGGATGTAATAAAAGAGAGCACCCAACTTGGAGGGGGTGGAATTTCATCTTGTATTCTTAAACTACCCTTCCCTTACGACTGAACAAAATGCCTAACCTTTCTTATCACCAAGTAGTTATTTTTAAATGGTAAAACACCCCTCCCATCGGTGAAAATGAACTCATAAGCTGAAAACATTGTATAGGCCACTCTTCACATTTTGGGTATGTACATTGACAGATTGAACGAACACAAGATTATAAACCAAAGAAAACTAAAATGGGTCTGTTCTCAACACAGACGGACTTCTTTTTCCTTGTCATTATTCCCTAATACAGTTAATACCTATTTCCATGGAGCTTACATTGTAGTATTTATAAGTGATTTATAAGTAATAGGTATTTATAAGTAATCTAGAAATGATACTAAGTATCCAAGCTTGTGTGAGTTAGTTACTACTGTGCCATTTTATTTAGGGAACTTGCGCTACTGTGTGTTTTAGCGTACCACCACAAAAATCAAAGGAATACCATGCTCAACACACAAATTAACTTAATTCATTGTAAATCTCACTGAATTTCTAGCTCTTCAAAGGACCTGGACGCTTACACAGGAGAAATGAAATGGATTTAAATTTCATGTAAGGGCATCTTATGCCTTTCCAGGTACATAAAATTTTAGAATATTTCCCTTGTTGATCCCCGGGTAGGTATTCCTGATTGGCGTTAGCAACATCTTTCAGGATAAGTAAGTAACGTGTGACATTTCAAACATTAAAGTGGATCAAATTAGTGTTTACAGGGAACTCTTGCTTAGTAAACTATTGAATCTCCCTGTGAAGGGAAATAAAGATACCTGTCTAGAGACCCTTCCTATACAGTGGTAGAATCTTAACCAAATCTATTAAATAATTCTTTCTAGCTATTCCGATTAGACTTAACTTGAATAATAAAGCCTCTAATGGTATTTAATGCAGTGTTTGAAATCCACCAACTGTTCTTCTGATTGGAGATAAACAATTAAAAACAAGATCTACAGTGGAGTGTGCTGATGGGCACAGCTCAGGAGGCAATTTCGCACAAAACTATGTCACAATTTTAAAAGATGGTGCCTTTTATAAGAGAATGATGTGCTATGTGTGCAAAAGTACCCAAAATCAACCATTTCCAGTTGACTTTCCTGCAGAAAAATATCAAGCTCAAAGACTCCCTGTACTTTGCAATATAGACATTCCTCCCATAGGGATAAAAGTTTCAAAGTCTTAGTTTTTCTAAAGCAAGAAGCCATTGCTTAACTTTACCAGTCAGCTGCCATCCTGAACTAATTCACATCAAATTTAATAAGGGGAATAGCTGTCATAGAGATCTGTGTGCCTAGTCAATATGTGCTAATACAAGGTCTGCTCTTTCCATGTGTTAACCTCTTGGGAGCCTCAGTCTGCAACCAACCTCCCAAACTTTCTGAAGCTTTGCCTTGCACTGAAATTGTGTTTGGCCTTCTTAATGGATATTGATTCTGTGTACTTTACCATAGAATATTGCTGCTAAAATGCTGAGAAAAATGATGAGTTCCTATAGCCCTAATAGTTTTTCTGTTGATACTACAGCTCTGTTGATATTATCTGCTTCTGATCAAATGAGTGATTGTCATGTCAAAAAAAAGAAAAAAAAAAAAAGAAAGCAACTGGATCACATTCTGTTAAGACACAAGGACACAGACCATGATTCACAAGGAATATGTGTGTGTGTGTGTGTGTGTGTGTGTGTGTGTGTGTGTGTGTGTGTGACAGGAAAAAATGAACTAAACTGATTTTGGAAGGAGAAATGATGAGGATGATTTATTGCTAATTATTGCCATTATCTGAAATTAGCCAAAGATGAGAAAATGAATTGTCACTCACACAACATGGAATGGGTCATTACTGTTAGTTGGATTTACTAAATATTTCTTGTGAAGTAAACACCCAAGATTATACTTAAGTTTTTAAATCTGGGAAAAAGCATATATGGGGTTTCAGAAAATTGGTGTCAGAGCCTAGATTAGGTGAGCAGGCTTTGGAAATCCCAGCTGTCGCTATTCCCGTAAACTGAGTGAGTTCACCTCTTTTAGACAGAGATAGGCCGTATCAAGATTGTATGGGCCTGAAAAGCAAAGCAATTAAGAAACACTTTCTTGGTTAAAGTATTAACTATAAATACAGCATTAAGGAAAAGCCAAGTTTAACTATGAAAAGAAGTCCAAAAAATTCAAACCAATAAATTAGAGAAATGTGCATTTACTTTAAAATAGAGCAAAGACTATTCAGTCCTTGAAAGCTGCGCATTTCTTGTGTGCTTTCAAGTTTGTCATATTCACTCACAAATTTCAGGAGAGCATGGCTCTGCAACTGATTCAGCTGACATGTAAAAAGGAGAAATAAACAGATGAGGATATCTAGTTGTATTAAACCCAGAGTTTGTTGAATGCCACATATGTTGCATACCACTTATGTACCAAGGGAGGTATGAATTTGTCCTATCAAATTCGCAGGTGACAGAGAAATGACAGATGGCCATAAGAGAGCATTTAACCAGAGATGCTAGGTGCTATCCTGAGTGTTGATGAGAGACGACCTACCAAGATCACCTTTTCCAGAGCGACTGCTTTGCACCAGTGGAACATGCCGCTGCTGTCCAGCTGCTCATTTTCTCTCTCCACATCACTGAGATAAGTTCTAGGCAGAGAGAAGGCCAGAATTCATGTGAGAACATTTGGGGCTCCACATAACAATGCCAGGATGTCAACCTCATCATCAGAGCCTTGGCCCAAGGTAGAAACAAAACAAACAAACAAACAAACAAATAAACAAAATGTAAGGAGAGTGATGTCTGGGTTGTGAGACTCCAGAATAAGTTTTCATGAAGGGCGACAGAAGCTGAATGACCAGACCCAGTCATGGTTAAAGAACATCTTAGTACTTTGAGCTAAACCCTCTTTTTAACTTACACAATGTGTACTTTGACAACCATTATGTCTGCTCTTAACATTGCTGCCATGATTCTATGGTGGGAATCATGACTAGTTTGTGGCACTTCCATGTAGAACTGAACAGGCAGTGACAGAATCATCACCGGAGACCTCCCTATCCTTAACCTATTTTCTATTCCCAAGTCCCTTCCAGATCTTTGGCCTTAAGTCCCTATTGAAACCCCCTTACATACCAAATGCATTTTGCCCTCCTGACAGTTTCTGTCACTAGCCTCCTCACTGGAGCTTGGACCTGGCTCCATCCTGACCTAGGTCCTGACAAAAATTGTCCACATGACCATCACACACTGCTGCTAGGCACAATGCTGCTCTGCAATAATTTTAATCAAATCATTAGATGACATCTCAAAAAGCGATACAAATGCTAGGGCATACACATTTGAATTTGGGGGGAAACTGAATTATCCCTCTGGAGTCACAGAAAGTTCAGGGTTAGAGATGTCAGAGGTACATCCGGGGAATTCTAGACTCAGGCGGGAGAAGAGCCTCAGAATCCCAGGATATCTAACATAGCATCATGTGCTCCCAACCCACACTGTATTCAACAACCTTCAAAGAGTCCATGCATATCATGAAAACATCTGTGCATAGATTTCCACATTTCTTTGCTTCAAAATAAGTTATCCTTCCCATATATTTTTAAATTTCCCTTTTATTTTACTCAGTTAAATAGGCATCAACCGCATACAGCTATTCAAATCCTTGTTACATCTATCACCTGGGCCAGAGGAAAGGAAATTACCTTCTCTCCATCAGCAGCCAGGGGATTAGAGAGCCACTGGAGAATCAAGCTCACACTTCTAATCACTACTGGCACAAAGTGACTGGTAGCATTGCAGCATACATCTCATTGGGCAGAACTAGTCATATGGCTTCTGCTAACTTTATGAGGGCTGGGGAGCATGGGAAGCAATAGACAAATCCGGTGAGCATTTATTTCTGCCAGACACTGTCAGTGCTACAAATCAAAGAACTACCAAATTGTAGAGTTGGCAGCTTAATACGATGCTGAGGTTGAGACTAGCCATTTTCACAATAGCCCTTTCAGTTAGTCTCTTGTATATGGACAGTTTGATGGAGCCATTGGACTGATTTGGTTCCATGAAATTCCAATGCTGGCAGAGGTGATGAAGGGCCCCTGCATGATGCTTCAGCCTCTCTCACAGCTCGGGTCATTGTGTGCATGGGTGATTACTTGACCTGCTCTGCACATATAGCATAAACAAGAAACAAACCTGCATGATGTTGAGCTGCCAAGATCTCAGAGATTTCCATAGCACAAATCTACTGTAAAACCCTTCCCCCAAAATACTTTCCAAGGCATATTAGCAACAGAAAAAGTCCTTATGAAATGTTTCTGTTGTCAAATAAAATCAAGGGGACATGGTCCCTCTTGGAAATTCACACTGTGCTTTAGCAAAGGAAAGATTCTAAAAAGTCTCACAATAAAGACAATAAATCACATAATCCAGCATACCAGGAGCTCCTCTGGCCACAAGAGCTTTTACTTATCTGCCTCTATGCTTATTTCTTTCTTTACGTTATTCACATATTTAAAAATATCTGTCATTGTTCCCAAAACATCTTTTGGTGGCATTCTGTGCTATGTCACCAAATCCAGCCCTGGCGGTGGGCAGCTTGTGAGAGCTCTCTCCTGTGACTCTTTGCTTCACATCCTAGGAGAAGCACAACCTTTTGCTATCCAAGTTTAAGGATTAGGGTTTACCCCTTGGAGCTAAAACACCTTGTTACTTAGCACTTCGTCTGAAGATAACATGCTTAGAAAGTGGTCAGCAAATTTGTTTTCCCCAGTCACCTTCATTTCTAATTTGCTATCATAAAGTCATAGTTTCAGGCAAAATAAAGTTACTCAAAGTGAGACACAAGTATCAGACATAAGCTTGTGGGACAGGAAGAGGAACAAAGCAGGGAAAAGTTATTGGAAACACTGAGAAGGTAATTTTCTCCTCAGATCAGCCAAAGTCATGATGCAATCCTTTATCTTCTTCTGCACTTAAGGCCTGCCTATAAATTTAGTAGATTTAGTGAGCTCTTGCCCTTTATCTAACTGCAAGATATTGCAATATCTGCCTTGATGTCAGCTTGACTGAAATGTCTTATTCTTCCTGCTTATTGTGCCACACATCCGGTGGTTTAAACAACCATAAATCATGAGCCTATAATCTTTGATGGTGCTGGGAATTTTGTATCTTTCAGGCAACAACTATCTTCTGTCTGGCAACTTTGTACATAGCAAAAACGTGAGGCAGTACATGTCTGTCTTGAAAAACCTGATTTATTGTTGACTTTGACCATTGCTTTTAGTCATATGGGAAAAAAATAGAGAAATCACCAAACTTGTGACTCTAAGGGAAGTTTAAGTAGTCACTTTTTCCCACTGTATCCTGCTTCATTTCTTCCCTTCTAACTCTCTTTCTTTCCTCTCTCTTTTTCTCACACACACACACATCTGTAAAACCTGCACATACACACCCCAGTCAAATAGAAGAATCTGAGTCTAATCTAATGTCACTTTTCTGTGTTTGTTGGTTTGACATCATTTTTTTTAACCTGTTAGAGAAAAAGTTTCAAAAAGCAAATGCTGTTAGATTGTTTCTTTTCTCCTAATGAAGCAGCATCTGACAAGCCAAAGAGGATCTTGTGAACTCCAAGAAATAGTCAGGACCAATCATGGAAGGATCTCCAGAGGAAGAGGGTGCAGTCCCTTTTCTAGGTTGGGGAGATCTTTGTGGTCATTTCCTGTGCCATGAGCTGCCATCTGAGCTGCCACTCAGCAGCGTCGCCAGCCATCCCTGCTGAGTTCACCCTATTGGATAAAATGGGAGCACATCTATCATGATATCTCATGGGACATGATGCATGAAGATATTTCACCAAGTTTGAGTTGGGGATAGTTGCAGCATCATGATGTAGCCGGTAGAACTGCCACCTGTGACACTGGCATCCCAATTTTTGTCCTTGCTGCTCCATTTCTGATCCTGCTCCCTTGCAAATGAACCTGAGAAAGCAGCAGAGAATGGGCCAAGTTCTTGGGCCCCTGCCACCCATGCTTCAGCCTGGACCAGCACAGGCTTACTACACTCACCTGGAGAGCTTTTTCTCTCTGGTTGTAGTTCCCTTCAAATAAAAAATCTTAAAAAAAAACTTTGTGGAAAAGGAAAATGAAAACATAAATTTATTTTGATGGCAAACTTTTAGAAATCCACATGTAATTTTTTATATATATAACACACATTTCCTGTGAACTTCTGAAGGATCATTCATATGACCAGGTTTTATTTTTTAAAGTTTTTTATTCCTTTTAAAGGGTCTCTCTCTCTCTCATCTCTCTCGACTCTCTATATTATATATATATATGTATATATATATATTTATATATATATCCTGGCCCTCTTCCTTCATCCAGAAAGGTGGAGCAGATGGAAAGAGCAAGTACCTTATCAAGAAGGTCGCTTCAACACAGCGTACCCGGGGGTCCTCATCCCCAAGTAGGTAGATGACAAACTTTAAAGGGTATCTCTCTCTCTCTCTGTAAATATATACATACATACAGAGATACAGAGAGAGAGAGAGAGAGAGAGAGAGAGAGAGAGAGAGAAATGGCTAAATCACTACCACATCCAGGGCTGGGCCAGCTGGGAGCCAGGAAACAGCAGGCTATTCAGTGTCTCCCACATGTGTACATGGCTTAGGCCATCATCTGCTGCTTTCCCAAGCACTTTATCAGTGAGCTGTGTCAGAACTGGTGCAATCAGGACATGAACTGCTCCCACATGGATGCTGGCATTGCAGGGATGGCTTAATTGGCCAGGTCACAACACTGGCTCCTAAATCTCTAAATTTATTTTGCATGAAAGCAAACATATTTTAATTCCTTACTGTATGATTTGAAGCTAAGTCAGATGTGGCCAGTAGCCAGACTGTCATCTGGAAAAACCTGTAGAACATATTTGGAAAGACAAAAATTAAAAAAAAAAATGTGCTCTTGGCCATTGAAATGTGATCCACTGCTCCACTTTGCTTGTGACTGGGGTTTCCTGGGATATAACACTTGCAAGACTTAAATTGGTCACTTCAATGCTACAAGAGAAATGCTTCTTCTGCCCAAGAACACTTGAAACCCTCTCTGCCCAGATAGCCTTCTGTACTCCCGTGTTTATGAATGATCTTTGGCCATTTTCAGTGGTAGGAGCACAATTACATGGCCCCAAAGCATTGAATGCATGAGTGTAACTGGGCTTCTGGTGAGTTTTATTTTCTACCCTTCCTGGTGGATCCTGGCATGTTCTGATTTTCTGCATACACAACGTCTTCAATAGACCATGAACCACTGTAAACTATTGACAGCAGAGATCACATTGAATAGCAAAGGATGGTATGACAGTTCCATTTGCAAACGCTGTCTTAAACTAAAGGTGGATCTAAATTCAGGTTATCATTTGAGTCAATGTAATCTTATCTGAGTTCATGTAGGAAAGTGTAAACTATGTTCTAAGGCAAACCTCATCTGCTATGAATAGCACTTTGTTTGCCTTTAAAGCAGTGTTACAGAGGGGTTCTATCAAATCCATGTTCACATTTTCTGTTTATAAAGTCTCCACAAAGACCTATCACTCCTCCGTCCCTCTTCGTTGCTGAAAAGTGTGAGCCAAGATCAGAGTGGTCCAGCACAGGTGAAAAGCAGCAACTGGATGGTGTTTCCATTATATAAACTCAAGGCTGAGCTCACAGAGGAACGTGTCTCTGTAAAGCTTTGCTTTGTGTCTGGTAAGTACAAACTGACAGCTTTTGTGCAGAAGAGTTTCTGGAAAAACACGCATGTGGGTTTCTCGGAGCTGAAATCGTTAGAAGATGCAAGATTAAGGAGAAAGATAAAAAAGATAATTTCCCTCTTTCTCACTCGTTCCCCACAGGGACCATCATTTAAATCCCTTCATATCTTATGAATCTTGTATTGGGGATTTTCTACAATGTGAGGACAAATGAGACATAACCCAGAACAGTTGGCACCATTAATAAAGGCCAGTATCTGTGTCCTGGGCGGGAAAGTTTGGGGCTCAGGGTAAGCTGCATATCTGTTGAGAGCAATTTCCTCTGTCGATCTGTTCAGCATGAAGATGTATTTTGAAGTGCTCTTTCACATCTCCCAACACTTTACAAACACCAAATGGCAGTGTAAGCTATATATAAATACCCATGATAAAGTCCAACTTAAAACTCACGCCACCTTAGAGGTTAACAATCATAACAACAAAATAGAACTACTACAATAATATATTAAGATGACTTTTCAAAATCATATGAATTTTTTTTCTTTCTGGAATTTTCCACTGAATATTTTTGAGCCCTGATTGACTTCAACTAAAGTGGTAGAAGGCAAAATCACCAAAACATGGTAGCTGCATGTGAGAGGATCAACAGTGTGGCTTTAGTCGTCCTTCCGAGTTGTGTGGGTCAATTCAAGAACAATACATCTTGTTACTGAATTAAGAAGTGAAATTGAATTGATCCTCAATTGCAGAAATGATCTGGCCGGGTTCCTATAATGTGCTTGACCCTTTCTAGGGCTTTTAAAGCGATTTGGGGGATTCTTTAACTAAATGCATGACTGATGGAGGAGGTGTACAGGTGGACCAGACTGCCTGCACCAATCCTACATGAAGCCCATTTCCTCCTTTATCATGAACAACGAGACAAATCACAGTGATATTTTGTGTTTGCAGCTGGGCTAAAGTAAAAAGCCAGTAAAGCAATGCTGAGAATTTCATTTCAGAATTTCCTGGGACTTTTGGTGATCTATGGCTTGCTAAGCTTTTGCAACCAGAGAGGGAACAATGTGGACAAGTACATATGAAATCACAAATGTGATTGGAGCATTTTATAGGCTATTGCATATGCTGGCTTCATAGCCTCAAGACCATTTCTGAATCTGAATGATGTTCTTGTGACAACTTTGCATGAACATAAGCATAACGTACAGAGACATACACATGCCCAATGCTAATACTCAGAAGTATGTTTTCCTGAGAAACGTGAAATATTGTTTTTCATGACATTGCCCCTCAGGCTGGCCAGAGAAGGTGCCATGTTGTCCGTGTCACAGTTTACCTAGTTCTTGCTGACCTATTCCTTCTCCAACTTTCTTTTAGAACTATCCCTGTACCTGTTGAAAGAATGCTGCTTCAACTGGCCTCTGTATTTTCTGCTTTTCTGGATTTACCTTGTTTACTGAACTATTGTTGAGGGTTGGCAACACAGTCTCTAATGTCCACAAAAGTACCTCACAATGCCTAATTAGTACACAAAAATCACCCCATGAAAACTAATTTTCCAATGATTTTTCAAAGGCAAACCAAAATAAAAATAATTTGCACTCCTAATTCTAGTGTATAGCTTTTGGTTGTTAGAAATAGTGAAGAAAAATTAGAGTTCCAGAAATTGGTTAGTGCCTTTTTTCTCATACAGTTCTTCACCCTCTCCCAGAAATAATCACAACTATCTCACCATGTTTCATAAAACCCTGGAAAGGCAAGGAAAGGCAAGGAAAGGCAGAAATTAAGTACCCCCATGTTACAAAGTTCGTGTACCAAGTGGTGGCTCAGACACTTGATAATCTGCCATGCTTTGTTTGGAAGGTATGGGAGAACCTCCATCAACCAGACATGTAAACCCAGAATCTTCAGTTAAATGGAAGCATGATTCTTCATATTTGAAGGGAGTTAAGCTACATAAAAAGCATGATCAAGTACCATGGACTGATGTGTATTTACTCAGCCCATTTTCATATACTTTCCTGGACATGAGGCTTGATAATTACAATAATAAGAAACATTTAGCCAGTGCTTACTGATAGCAGGATTTTACACACTGTATTTTTTGCACCCTTTTGATAACATCACCCTCTTTCTTCCACCACACAACCTCAGCCAGCCATCATTCTACTCTCCGATCCTGTGAGTGCTCTCAGAATTTTCACACATGAGTGAGATCATGTAATTTGTTTTTCTGTATCTGGATTACCTCAGTGCAGTGTCCTCCAGGTCCATCTGTGTTGTTGCAATGGCAGCATTTCCTTCTTTTAAAAGAATGAATATTAGTCCAGTGTGAGAATGTGAGTGTATATGACTCTGTGTGTGCCATTTGCTTAATCACTCATCTTTATCTGACACTGAGGTTGATTATGGGACATAAGAGCACAGTAAAATTTGAGATTCTGATTTCACTACCTTTGCATAAATACCCAGAAATGAGATTGCTACATCATGTGTGTGTTATTTTCAATGTTTTAGAAAGCTTCATACTGTCTTCTATAATGGCTGTACATCAAAATGCCTTAAATACTTAATCTCATTCCGGCATTACATAAAGGCTTCTACAAAGTATGCAATGCATTATATAATGCTAGAGCATCATGGTTATGCTCTACTGGTAATATAATGCTTACTTACACAATCACTATCCTCAATCACTGCAGATCTTCTTAGTTTATTGTATCTGCCAAACTGGAATGTTTTCAATACACACACAGTTTTTTCCCTTAAAGTTCAAAATGACAGAACTTCTGGATTCATTATTTAAAATCAAGTAAACCATTTATCCTCCATCTAAAGACTTGATAGGGGTTTAAATGTATTAAGGAGCTGAGGGAGAAAAAAAAAAGGTGGAAGGGGAACAACGCATTGCTAGTGTTCTGCAGATGCAAACACTAAGACCATTTCTTCACCAATTCATTTGTAAAAGGGAATGGAAAAGACACATTTAGGAGAAGCTAAACTTAGCCCCAGCAATATTTCTGTAGGACCTAAAAGGTTATATAAGAGAATGGGTGTATAGCATTTGATTGTTATGAGTATAGATAATGTGATCAATGATGAAAGAAGCTATATTTGCTTGGCTTAACAATATGGGGGAAAGTAGATATGAATTCATTGTGCTGAGGAGCAGTCCCATTGGTTAGTATAGGAGCTGATAAAAACAAAACTGTTCTGGTATGTGTTTTATTTGCAAGAGAGTCTAAGGATACCTTAGGGATCAAAGTTCTTTCAGGTTCTTACCTGCTGGCCAGGCTGCTCCAGCTGTCCATGCTTAATGGCCTCACTATTATATGATTCTGTGCTGCTGAAGCTGAGGGATTTTCTTTTATGTTGCTTTTAATTGCTTTTATTGTACCTGCAATATCATTACAAACTCAGTTAGTTGACCTGATGACCCTTCACAAAGGGTGTTAGCCAATAAGTTTGTATTCTGCAGTTATTTTAAAAAAATAAGGATAGTTACTAAGAAGAAAAAAATGGAGTAGAAATATTTTGCATACAAAAGAGCAAGTTGGGAGCCATGTTAGGCTAATCTTTTGCCAGTGCACCAGTACCCCATATAGTTCCTGGTTCAAGGCCCAGCTGCTACACTTTCAATCCAGCTCACTGCTTACGGCCTGGGAAAGCTGCAGAGGATGGCTCAGGTTCTTGGGTCCCTGCACCTATGTGGGAGACCCAGGTGAGGTTGCTGGCTCCTAGCTGCAGATAGGCAGAGCTATGGCTATTGTAGCTATTTGGGGAGTGAACCAACAGACGAAAGATTGCTCTCTCTCATTTTTTTCTCTCTCATTTTCTCTGTAAAGTTACCTTTTAAATAAATAAGTTAATATTTTTACAAATAAAAGTAAATTGGTAAAATGTCAGAGAATTGTGTGTGGGGGGGAGGGTGGAGCTCTCCAAACTAACCAGCAGTAACCCAAGGAGTATTTAATAAAGTAAAGCAAACAATTTCAGTAATAACAGCATGATAACACCCATGTGGGAGACCTAGGGGAGGTTGCTGGCTCCTAGCTGCAGATAGGCACAGCTATGGCTATTGTAGCTATTTGGGGAGTGAACCAACAGATGAAAGATTGCTCTCTCTCTCTCTCTCTCATTTTCTCTGTAAAGTTACTTTTCAGGACCCGGCGCGGTGGCGCAAGTGGTTAAAGTCCTCGCCTTGCACGCCCGGGATCCCATATGGGCGCTGGTTCTAATCCCAGCAGCTCCACTTCCCTTCCAGCTCCCTGCCTGTGGCCAGGGAAAGCAGTCCAGGAGGGCCCAAAGCTTTGGGACCCTGCACCTGCGTGGGAGACCTGGAAGAGGCTCCTGGCTTCGGATCGGCCTAGCATCGGCCATTGCGCTCACTTGGGGAGTGAATCATTGGACGGAAGATCTTCCTCTCTGTCCCTCCTCTCTGTATATCCGCCTTTCCAATAAAAAAATAATAAAAATAAATCTTTAAAAAAAAGTTACCTTTCAAATAAATAATTTTTTTTACAAATAAAAATAAATTGATAAAATGTCAGAGAATTGGAGGGGGTGGCTCTCCAAACTAGCCAGCAGTAACCCAAGAAGTATTTAATAAAGTAAAGCAAACAATTTCAGTATAACAGCATGATAATTAAAACAGAAAATATGAATGATGGATTAATTTGCACTAGTACCATATCTAGCTCATCAACAAATCAGTAGTTTGAAAAATACTGTATATTCTCAGGACTAGAGAGAACATGTTCATTTGTGCGTAATGCATGCACTTTAGAGCAGAATGTAATTCTCTGCATGACATATATATATATATACACATTGCATTATGTGACACAGTTTCATAGGCTCTGGGATTCCCCCAAACCCTCCCCGTACCCTTACCCCCATGGTGGATTCCTCCACCTTGTTGCTGAATTACATTTCAGATTCAGTCAAGATTCTTTCATTGCAAGCATGTACCAAGCATAGAGTCCAGCTTCTTATTGTCCAGATAAATTCAACAGTTTCTTGGGGAGACCATCTCTGGTCTGAAGGCAGAGCTGGCAGAATATCATCCCGATCAATTTAAAGCCACAACATAACATCAACGACAATTTACAACATTATGGAATTAATTGACATGGTATTGAGTAACCAATATGCTAAAAAAAAAAAAACCACGCAGTTTCTTAACCACACCCTGTGACTACTTCATTGACATTTCAATTTTAGTTTATATACTACTGGCTTTTATACGCCTTAAAATGGCTATAGATTACTATTCAGCTGTCTCATGTATATTTTCACTTTAGTATTTAGCAGTTCATTGTGTTGAAGCATTAATTTTGCTGAACTTGGCAGAATTTAGGATAGTCTAAACTGGGTTATAACTCTTAACAACAGGTGAGGTGCAGAACAATTTTAGGAGGGGTGTGCAGAGAAATCTTTAATACCTTAGTGAGGAGTAACTAATCTTTGTGTCCTACCTGGTAAGGTATGTGTGAGTCCACGCTGACCATTTCCTGTCTGGTTCCAAGCTTTCCTTTTTATTCTCTATCTGACTCTGACTAGTCTAATTTGTGTGTGTGTGTGTGTGTGTGTGTGTGTGTGTGTGTGTGTGTGTTTATGGTGGAGCTGTGAAGCAATCCTGATGGTCATTGCAAGAGAGGGTGTGGATCCAAAGTTGGAACTAAGCAAGGACCAGAGAAAACTCCTCCCCCTAGTCCCGAAGGAAGTTTATTATTCTGTTTCTGCAGACCGCTCAGGGTTCCTGGCTGTTGTTCTGATGACCTTGGATCATTTAAAGGAAGGATTTGGTCTTCTTCCATCCCGTGTGGTAGATCCAAATGGCAGTGGATGACCTCAGAGTTCTCAGCCTCTGAAGGCACTCCAATTCCCCGTAGTCTCTTTGGCAGTTGGGATATAGTTCTTGGTGCAGGGTTGGGATACAAGCTTCCTCCTGTCCCCCTGCTCCACTCTGGCATTCCCCCCTTGCTCTGTGTATATGACCTCCTCTTACTAGGTTGTCAGGATTGATCTTGATTCCCTCTGTATGTCTTTGTAGTTTTACTGTTGTCTAATGCTGATTTGAATCTGTTGTCTATAAGTTACCTTTTATGTTCCTGACAGGCTGATACTTCACGTCTTCCTCACACATTCTAAGGAGATGGAAGATTTCTCTGCCCTCCCACCCCATTTCCAAGTAGCATAGTGTTTTAAAGGTATATTGGGTTTTACAATTTTTTGATGTAGATCATAAGCACTCTGATTCACATTGATTGTGGGTTCATTGGTTGTTTCCATGTCTTCGGTATTGTAGATTATGCTACTGTAATATATGGTTACTCCTCCTAGGAATATACCCAATCTGCATGTGAGAAGGGGGATCTGGTGACAGATTCTAAGTCAGTTATTTGAAGTGTGCTCACAGATCTAAAGGAAATCATGTTGAGAAAATAAAAGGGAAAACTGAAAGGATTATAAGAGTGTTATCTACCAAAACGGAAACTATGTTATGGAGTGTCTGTTATATGTTATGAAGTGCCTGTTATACATTATGGAGTGTCTGTGAACAGTATGATAATTAAAATAGAAAAGAGTGCAGCAACTCAAGATGAGATTAATCCATGTAAAAGAAAGTGTCAACAAAGTGAAAGGTAAGTGAATGAAAAGTATCCAATCTGAGAGACAAAAGAAAGATTAAATAAGAACAGAATCTAACAGATCTCTTGGATAACTGGGATATTGTCAAATGAACCAACATATCTAATGAAAGCCCCCAAAAAAGGAAAAAGAAAAATGAGTAGAAACAACATTGTAGAAAATAATTATCTGAAGTTTCCTTAAATTAGATGAATACACACTAACCTTACGCAGCCAGGAATTGCACTGATCACAAGTGAAATATTGATATCCACCTTCCTGGACATATTGTAATGAAGTTGGTTTAATCCAAAGATACAGAGTCTTGAAAGCAACAAGTGAAGTGACTCACCATGTACACAAGGTTCTCAATATGACATAGAGCTGACCTATTATCAGACACAATGGAAGTGGGAAAGCAGGATGCTGGTGTATGGGGCAGGTGGGTTAGAGCTGATGAAGAATCATTGGCTGGGGTGAAGCACAGAGGGCAGATTGCAGGAAAGGTTGGAGGAAGGGGTGATGGTGGAGGGGTGCCTAGATACCTTTAGGCACAGTGGAGTGATGGAGACAGTAGAGCAGTATTGCAGTGACCAGATGACCCAGCAGCAGCTGGCAAGTGACAACCCAAGGTCCACTGGCAGCTGGAGCTCTGGAGACAGCCAATTGTGTGTGTGTGGTTGGGGTAGGGAGCTTCACCAGGGGCTCAGGATATGAAAACAGTTAGGGAATCGCCAAATTTTCTAATTTGTTTGACCCAGCCACAAGCAGAGATGAAGCAGTGGACTCCAATAGGCTGTGCAGGCACAGGGCAAATATTACTGTACAGACCCACAACAGTGCTGTATCTGGCACTGTTTTGTGTAGTGGGGCAAAACTTGTGGGACTGGAGAGACAGCCAAGAACAGGCTTATTTCTAGCTCAGCAGATTACACTGATCACACAAGGAACGCAGTGCCAACTTTGCATCCTGCAGGTTCAACACAAAGTGGGTCCATGTGGCTCCCAGATCTAACAACCAGCAGATCCAGAACTCCACCAGTGCCACATTGGGTGTCATTTTGTGTAGTGGGGCAAAGGCTATGGGACTGGAGGAAGAACAGTGAGCTTTGCATGCACTGAACAAGGAGTGATCAGGCATCATTTTGTGCACAGGACCAAAGGCTGTGGGACTGGAGAGACCATGATGAGCTACACATACACTAGAGTAGGAGCGAGTTCACTTCCAGCTCAGTGTTTTGTAGTGCTTCTCCAGAGGAAACAGCTCCGATGTGGCATTCCACAAGTTCTACCCAAAATAGGTCTGGGTGGCCCCTACAAACCCATTGGTACCATGTCAGGAATCATTTTGTGTAGTGTGACAAAGGCTGTGGGACTATTGGGACAGCAGTTAACAGCAAAAAAAAAAATCATTTCAGACTCAGTGCATTACCCTGATTTTCCAGAGAAGATCATACTGACATAATACCTTGCAAATTCCAACCAAGATAGATGCACATGTCCCTCAGATATAACAGCCAGCAGGTTTGGGCAAGATCAGCACTACAGAAAACCCAGTTATTTACAACAGCAGATGTTCCCCTGATCCTGGGCACTGCTTGAACTGGAAGTGGGGGAAAGACTGTATAGACAATGATGTGGTCACAGCACAGGATTATGCACAGTGCATAGTGGTGAT